TCAGACAGACAGTTAAATTTTTTGCACTAGGGAGAGAAAAATAGTCCTGGCTGAATAGCTTTTGAAAATGTGAAGGTTCTTCTTTTTGCTACCATTGCTGACATTTTTGTATGTATAGCCATTACAGGAGATAATAGACACAAAAATCTGTTCTATAGTAGGAACGTGCTGTACTGAATATTAAAGGCACTGACATAGACTGGACAAAAGAGAGAAGGCAGCTGAAGGTTTCAAATTCATAATGAAGAGTGATGATGTTTTTTAGGTAGTCTTGTGTTTGGAATTAATGTCTCTGGCTTACTGACAGTATTAGCCGTGTCATATAGGATCCCACACTGCTGTCAAGGAAATTTAAGTATTAAAACAGGGGCAAAAATCAAAAATATTTAGTATTACTTCTGTGTTGTGTTCATATTTGTAGCATTTCTGTTATCTAGGATGCAGAGGAAGAACCAACAGTTTTCAATAGATGTTACTCTTTAGTTCCCATGTGCCAAATCCAATGCAAAGAAATCCCTCACACATATTATACATAGAAATCAAGAGAAAACTTGTATTTGGGTAATTGTTGTTACTGCCATAATAAATAAAAAAGCGTGCTTTTGGAAATTTGTGTATAAAATCTGAGAAGGTTTGTTTTTCTGAGCTTTTTGGTTCTTCAGAGTTTGTTGAGGAACAGTCCACTCGTCAGAAGGGGAAGCTGAATTTGGCTGTGTTTTCAAAGGTACAGGTTTGACACTGGCAGTGCAAATTTTGCAGAGAAAACTCCACAAAAGCAAAGAACCTTTTTTCACTTGCCAGATATTATCAAGCCTGAGGACACATGGAAACATTCTGCCTAATCTGTAGCATATTGAACCTCTGTGTATAGAACTGTAGCTAAAGAGTTATTAATCTAGTGTTCTGTTTATGGCAAAATGTTTGTGTTGATATTGGGGTTTAAAATCATGAGTAAATGCATAATTAATAATGCTTAAACTCCTGTGTGACTTAGACTGACTGTCAGAGTTATAAAAAAGTAAATAAAAATATACTTCATTTCAAATTTATTGTATTTTCAGAAGAAATATTCTTACATCTTAAAATGACATTTAGGAAGCAATTCATAAAATATGCCCCTTTAAGAAAATACTTTCATCCTTTATGACTTTTCTCAGTTCCAAAACAATAATGACACTTTAAAACAACCTTGGGTTTTCATCAAAAGCTGATACCTGCCAAAAAAAACACAGCAAGTTTGTAGTACGTGTGTATGTTTTTAAGCTAACATTGAACTATTTATTCTCTTTACATTTAAATATGACTTAGAATAGTTAACATAAAAGCCCTCATAAGTTGAGATTGGTATGAGCAAGATAGTGCATGTGATTCAGAAATTTGCAGGATCTCACCTTTTGAACTGATAACCATATGCGTTGTCTTCACTGGACAAGCACTGCACTGTGTTGCATGATTAGTGTTGGCTTTTCAGACTTCAGCAGGGCTTGAGGTTTGTTTATCCTTTTAAAACCACAGGATTGGAATTGGAAAAAAAATAATTGAATTAATAGCTTTTAAAATTTTGTTCATTTCAAGGCTTCAGTGATACCTTTTCTGTTTCTGGAAAGTATTAATTTCCTGCTGCTACTGTCATTAATTCACCGTTACTTGACACCTTTGACTTACAGAACTGAAAGATAAGCAGTGTTATCTGATCTGCTGACACAATTGGCTTACTTTAAATAAGCATTAGTAAATGACACAAGGCACAGGCAGGCTGTGATGAATGCATTTTGAGGCCCAAGGGCCAAAAGACAAACACCATATTAGTTTTACTCAGAAGGGGGCTGCTGGGTGGGCTGAATGTGAATAAATTATGTCATCCATCTTCTGACTAGGCGTTGCTAAATCACGTCCAAATTCAGAGGACAGAACGTTTGTCAGAGACAAAACCTTTGCTTTCCAGGAAAACTAGATTGCACCAAGCACTAGTTATTTAGAATAAAAATGTTTGCAGGAAGTTTATGCCTCTGATGAAGTCCTTAATCCATTTACAGTCTAACAGTTGCGTCCAGATGTGGTACTGTGCTGACTAAATTGGCACAGATTCAGGAACTAAATACAAACTTCTTCAGCAAAGGTACTTAAAACCAAGTCAAGTGATTAAAAAGAAAAAATAAAAAAGATGCTGTCTTCCTTGACTTTGAGCAGTTACACCTGCTTAAAATAAAAAGTGGGTGAATGGATGAGGTAATGAACATGCTCCTGAAAAGGAGTACTGTATTCTACTATTAATATATTTATCCTACCCTACCTGTTCTCTACGTTCATAGTGGCAAAGATCTGGTCATGCAGGAGAAAAGGCAGAGAGAAAGATAATGAACATGTATGTGAAGAGGAAAGAGATGCTTTCTTCTGCACCTTAAATAAAAGTTTGCTAACTGCTTCATTTAATAATGCATACGAGCTAACAGGAAAACTGACTGAAAATGGAAAATAGGGTAATGGTTAAAATTCTGTGTTTATTTGGCACCAATGAAAAATCTGTGGAGAAGAAGAAAAATAAATGCTTTAAATATATAGTAACTTTAAATAGGTATTTTAATAATAGAGGAAGGAGTGAAATAAAATTGTGGATTTTTAAAATTAAGTGTATTGCTTTCGCTCTGTAATTGAATTTAATATGTAGTGTAATTCAAGAAAAGGAAACAGTATGAAACTGACCTACTACAAAATGCAAAGGTTGCTTTCCATTATTTCTCTTTCACAGCGTGGAAAACTAACAAAATCAGTTAATTTTTGCCTCTTCTGTGAAAAGGAAAACTGATAAGAAAGAGTACCTGAAACCTTACAGAAGAACTACTGCAAGTTAGATTTTGGAACAAAACTTCCAAACTCTCGCTCCTTTATAAAATTTAGTTATATGTGAAAGATATGTATGATTTTATTGTGAAGGAATTAGTATGGTTGCTTAATTCTAAACTGTCTAATAGCTCTAGATTAACTCAACTTTTAGTAAGAGCTACTGAGAAGCTAAGTACCCACATATCTAATATGAGTATCACGTGCTCGTCTAGACCCTTTTCTCCCTTTCCTTGTGTGCAAAGAAATTCGTTCTGCTTTAGCCCTGCCTGCTGGCCTCTGTGATCCTTGGTGTTACTTTAACTGCCAGTTTGCACCTAAACATTGAGTGATATGATAGTTTGGTATAAAACCCTGCAGAAATAAAGATTGGTTTGTGTATAAACAAATAAGATTGGAGAACAAAAAAAAACCCACAATTTGAACTAGAAGTAGCCCATAATAAAATACAAGAGGAGGTTAATGAAAGTAAGCTGTAAAGTGAAATGGCAATGTATTTTCTAAGAGCATTTATCTAACACTGACAGTCTAGCCTAAAGAAATCTATGGTCCTGCTTTTACTACTTCAGTAAGGAAAGTTATGCAGATCATTTGCCATACAATGTATCCTGGCCAAATGGCACCTTTTTTCTGTTGACTTGAGTACTTTGACTTAAGTACACTTCTTAAATATTTGAAGCAATATAAGTGAATACATGTAGTACATGTTGAGCTTATATGGAATCAAATACAACACACACGAAGGTCTGAGTCCTGTTACTGCTGTTATTGCTCTATCTTATACTGGCGCTGGAGTGTATAAATGTGCTGGGGTTATTTTTGTGAATAATTTCTGAGCTCTCTGTCTGTAAGCAAAAGCCATGATGAAATTTTGTCTTCTGTGTCAAGTAATCCTTCTTTTTTGCCTTTGTAGATGTTAATGAATGCCAGGCTATCCCTGGAGTCTGTCAAGGAGGAAACTGCATTAATACAGTAGGTTCGTATGAGTGCAAGTGTCCTGCAGGTCACAAACAGAATGAGGCAACTCAAAAATGTTATGGTAAGTGATGTTGTCAGAGAGCATGCCTAAAAAGTGGTTAAGAAAAGCATTGGAGTGCTTTAATAATGTAAGAAAAGGTTCTGAATAGTTGCAGTGTCTGATCTGAACAGACACAGCATTGTACTGTGCTTTGTGTTTCTTCTTCACAGCATTGTCTGTTTCTACTCTGCTGTGCATATTTTGCATTGTACTTTTTCTCTGTCTGATTTGTCTGGGTAAAGACAGATTTTATCATGTTTCAAAATGTAGAACTATTGATAAAGGGTGCATCTGTGACCAGCATCTAACTGCAACTGAGGACTTTGTTTGTTTTCTCAAAAACATCCAAAATACAGGTAGTACAGGTAGGTATTTTCAGCCTACTTAGTACAGCATGAAAAGAAAACGTGGCAGTTTTAGTAATGGATGTGAGAAATCACTGGTGTGTACACTTTGTTTTGAAGAACTTGGGTAGAGTAAAAAATACACAGGAAATGTCCTTTTTTAGGTGATAAATCAAATAAACCATATTTAGTAAGTGTAATTTAATAAACATAGGCCATATTTATTCAATAAATGTTGATACAGTTAAGACCAGCCATTCTGTATTGTTTAAAGTAATGTGATAGAAAATTATTGCATTTTTGTGGTTTTGATGAAGACTTCACTGATGTGGGTAGATTTGCCATGCCTTCTAAAGAAATCAGAACTCTCAAAACCTCACACAAGCCAGTGAATACCTACCTTTGCATTCGTTACACAGGTAAGAGGGCTGCTTGTTCAAGGCTTGTGGTTGGGCATCAATTTAAGTATGTTACCAAACCACTTTATAGTCAGTATGCAATTGCAAATACATGGTTTGTAGCAAATTTTGGAAGTAATCTCAGAGTTTTCCCGGGTTTTGCTAGTAATATAGAATTCACAGAAAAATTAAGAAATACCATCAGTTTAAAAGTGAAAATTTTGCATCTGATGTTGTAATACCAAAGAGTAAGTGAAAAAAATATCCAAAGTTATTTTTCTCTGGCCTTGCTCTCCATCACCTTCTGGATTTTTATGTTGACTAGTTTCTGTTTCTGCTTAGTACACAATGATATTCCTGTCATGAGTTTTTCCAGGGAAAGCCTATCTGTATCTTGTTAAAACCTTGCAATAAACAGTTTGCAAGAAATAGAGCTGCAACCATAGAAATAGAGCTTTTCATACAATGGCTGAGGAGAAGCAGAAACAGAAGTATCTTGTGTATGTGTCTATGCATGTGTGTGCCTTTATTTACCTAAGTGTATGATAGTGTGCAGATAGGCATCCAGCATATGCACAGAGGTTTAAGGTGCTGCAGGGAACAATCACATTCATAAGGACACCAGGTCCATTTGAGTGATTTTTTAAGTACAGGAACACTAAGAGCGTTGCTGAGACACTAGAAGGAAGAATTTTTGCATACTTTGAAGGAAATAGAAAGGCAGAAGAGCTGTAGAGCAATAGAACAGTATGGCACCATCTCCACAGCCTTCTGCAGGACTAAGGGATGAGCCAGCAGGCACCAAGTGGAGTGAGGAATCCAACAAAAGAAAATGTCTGAAGGGGAAATTCATAATCAGAGCCACTTTCCTGGGAGGTTTAAATCCAATGCATTTCATCTACCCTGTGCTGCATGGCAACCTGAGAGAAACTGAGCTAAGCATAAAGTGGACAGCACATCCTAGTAAAATATTTCTTAAAAATAAAACATTTTTTTGCAGGAGACAGAATGGGGATGTACCTATAGGCAAGAGGTAGTGGGATTTTCCTTGCAAGGGAATCCCTGTAATGGCCTATTCCAAATTTTATCAGCTCTGTGCCTATTTCCTGAATCCCTCCATTACTTGTGCAGCATGGAAGGAGTTGTCTTCACTACCGTGAAAAGTCTATAAATAAGGAGCACAGAAAAGCTTACAGATAAAATCTATAATTTTGAAAACAGAGTTGGATTAATTTCACTTTCTTGTAATTATGACATTAAATACAAACAAGTGTCAGAAAGAAAATTTGCAAATGTTAAACGTTTTCCAAACTGTGACTGTGATGCCTCACTTGAAAGAGTGGATTTGAAAATGTTAGAACTATAATTTAGTAATCATTTCAGAGCTGAAGCAAAGCCAGGTGTAATTGCTAAACAAATGTGTGGTGTATTTGATTGTGTGGGCAATGCATAGATTAGAAATATGTGCTTTGTTCTTGTTCATCTTGGCTTTGTGTTGTCGGTTGGAAGGCATTTCACTGGAAGGCTTTTACTGAAATTGGTATTCTTCAAATTATATCTGTTTATTTTGACAGGACTCTTTCAGCTTCCGACTGTTTAGAACTTTTTATAGTATTAAATGGAGTGATTAATGGTAGAGAGTAACTTTTACATATTTTGAAGTATAGCTACTTATCCATGTTAATTAGAAGTGTATCTGTTTGTCCGATGCCCTCAATCATGGTGTATTTATTATTGTTCCATGAGAGTTGTACAGCAGGAGCATGGCAATAGTACGTTTGCCCAGGACAGTCATTGAGGTGTTACTCCTGCAAAAAGGCATTTCTAGTGTGATAAATGTCATCAGAGCAAAGACAGCATCTGGATATCTGTTATGATGGACTTACTGTCCCATTTCAATAAATGAAGTCCTTGCTCTGATGGTGTATGTAATCTGCCCATGACAGTGCTCATGCTTTCCTGCTGTTAACCCTAGAGGAGCTGCATTTTAAGAAGACCTGATACCTCCTGTCAGACAAGGATGCAGTTAAAATACATCAAATATATGTTTTCACAGAGATCCAAAAAATGCAGGTAATTTTGTATGGGTTACGTTTCTACCTAACATTTGCACTCCAGCTCTGATACCAAACGGAAAACTTATTCAGTGATAGATTTCCTTCCTTCTGAAAAGAGTAATTAAAGCATTTTTTGAACTCTACTTATTTAACCTATCCTAAAGCTCTGCTTTAATTGTTTAAAATGTTATTCAGCAATTCTTCCCAATAGTATCCACGGGAAAAGGCAAATGTATTTTTAATACATGGCTGCTTAAAAATGCTTATGGCACTGTGCATAACAGAAGTGAGAAATCATCTCACTCTGATCTCAGAATGAAATATTTGCTGTTACTTCATAGTTCAGTAATCAATGGACTTTCATTTCCTGCTTTGTTGGCAGCCTGCAGCAGGATAGGTCATATGCTCCGGCTTTGTTTCTTCTAAGCCCCTGCCACTTCTGTTCGTGGCAGAAGTCAGGTACTAATTAGTCACTGGTCACAGCTTCCCTACTGACTTCCTAGTCATGCGATTCCCCACAAGGAATTATACGGATAACCTGCAGTGCCCAGTTTGTACCTTTTCTTTTTTTTTTTTTTTGAATAACAAAACTGTTCTTTGTCTTTTTCTTCATGTTTCACAGCTAAGGTGGTAATGCCAAAATTATACCAGCGTAATACCGTGCTTATATGATTCCAGAAATGGAGCAGAGAATAGAATCTGAACCATAGTTTTATTCAGGCTTTTTTTTTTTTTTTTTTTTTAAATAAAGGCTCTGAGAGTTCCTAATCTCTCAGTTTGAGAACTGTAGCCAGTCCTTCAAACAATTACACTTTCAGTTAGTGGGACCGGTCATTTGCGTGAAGTTAAATCACTTAAATATATGGATTGGACCATTGGGAATGTTTCAAGGAATTGATCTCATATGAGCTAGAACTTCCCTATAGAGAAATTATTTAACAGGAACTGCATTGTTCTAATTAAGTTTTTTATTCAAAACAATATATAGAAGTGATGTAGTGGGGAGTAGTTTGCTCACGTTTCCCTTTTTACGTATGGAAAACCAGACTGAATATTACTTGTTGGCTACAAAGGACAAAGTCCAAGTTGGAGTCAGCAAGCAGACAGTGGTCCAGTGTTCAGAGGTAGAGGCTGGAGTCTTACACTAACTATTCAGACCTTCTTTATTTAACAGCAGGTCTTCTACTTAAGAAGGAGAGAGCTGAGATCCTCTGCTGTATCCTTTGCCCTTAAACATTCAGGATGTATTTTGTGGATTAGTTTTTTCCTCCTGTTGTTCCTCCTGGAAACAGTAGCTGTTGTTAGAATAAGTAGGAATGCTCGTATTGCACTTACTGTGCCATAAAGGATTTTGCTAGAGCTGTTAAACAGTGGACATTGCTTAACTAGGTTATTTACTTGCACTATATTCCCGTGTTTCTTTTTTCCCCGAAAAAATCAGTAAAAAGGTATATATATGGAGCTTATCAGGTTTATTTTGAGCCTCACATTACAATTTACTGACATTGACCTTTTAGAAAGTAACAGCAATTGTTACTTTCAGTAAAGTAAGTAAAGAGGGTTTAAAGGACTTCCAAAGCACATGAGAACAACTTGTATGTTTAACTGTGTATGTATGCCCTTGTGTGGAAATGTAACTAGGTAGTTTGGGATCTTTGTCAAAGCAGGACCTTTGAAATTAATCCAACTCTGTTTTCAAAATTATAGATTTTATCTGTAAGCTTTTCTGTGCTCCTTATTTATAGACTTTTCACGGTAGTGAAGACAACTCCTTCCATGCTGCACAAGTAATGGAGGGATTCAGGAAATAGGCACAGAGCTGATAAAATTTGGAATAGGCCATTACAGGGATTATACTGAATTCCAGCTATCCAGAGCATTAGATGATGTCATAACTAAAAGAAAACCTGAGACCCTTTTCTTTTTTGGCCTAAAAATTTTGATCTACTGTCCATGGATAAGGAATAGGTTGGATGGTCATATCCAGAAGGTAGTGGTCAACAGCCTGATGTCCAGGAAATCAGTGACAAGTGTTGTCCTTGAGGGGTCCATATGGGGACAAGTGCTTTTTAATATCTTCATCAATTACATGGACAGTGGGGTCAAGTGCACCTTCAGCAAGTTTGCACACAACACCAAGCTGAGTGGTGCAGTTGACATGCCAGAAGGGTGGGATGCCATCCAGAGGTACCTGGACAGGCTTGAGAAGTGGGCCTGTGTCA